TAAAGGTCCATGGAATGATCAGCATGTGGTGGACATGGAGAAAAGGGAGTGTACTTGTAGAAAGTGGGAGCTTACTGGAATTCCTTGCAAGCATGCAATTGCAAGCCTAAATGAAATGGTAGACAATAATGAAAAGGTGGGAGAACTATACACCTATGTCCATAAGGTGTATTGGCTTGATACATGGAAAGAGATGTACTCCTTCAAGGTGGAGCCTATCAAAGGTAGAGCCATGTGGCCTAAGAGTGACTGCCCAACAACTCTTGTGCCTCCACCTCACAACAAAGCTATAGGCAGGCCAAAAAAGAAAAAGAGGATGTCAGCAGAGGAAAGGATTGATATCCAGCAACGTAAGAGGCAAGCAAACAGTCAAAGTCAAAATGATAATGAAACTCAATCACTCAGCAGGAAGTTTTTGACTGTTACATGTAGTAAGTGTAAGCAAAAGGGTCACAATGCCAGGACCTGCAAGGCCAAAGATGGGAATTGATGTTTAAGTACTTAAGTTGTTTATGTTTGTGAACACTTGCTAATGCACTTTAGTTGGTACTTTGATGCCTTTTTTGGTTCCATTTTGATTATGTACTTTGATGCCGTTTTATGAAACAATGTACTCCAATGTTTTGGCAATGTACTTTAATGCCCTTTGTTGGTAATGATTGTGTTTTGGCATTAATCTGTTATGGTGCCCTTTTGGTAATGTAGATTGTTACTGGTTTATTTTGTATTGTCAAAGCATGAAGATGTTATGGCGATGCACTTAATATATGCATGTAAAACCATTACACTTGCATAACATGTCAACATAAAACCTTTATAATTTCATATTCATAAAAAGATAAAACCATTACACTTCCCATTATCATAAAAGCATTACATATCCAATGATCCAAAAGACAACACTTACAACATATATAAACCACAATTACACATTCTAGCACCAAAAGACAACATTTTCAAGTGGTTATTACCAACAAAAAAGCCATGAACCTTCTAATTCCTAATTCCAAAACAACGCAAACAACAGAAACAAGACCCACGAGGCAAGCAAACACATATTCAGCTGAACCACTTCAACCTCATACATATTCATTGTTCTCAACAGTCCTGGTATGATAAGAGTTGATCTTTGACACATAGGGGGATCGACCCACCCCAAAAACCCACATCTGGATCCCTACAAGAATACATTAAAGTAGAAGAGTTATTGCATAACTACCGAAATATCATAACCTAATATGGGTTTGCTTACCATTTTAGGGCATGCATAGAAACGAAGATCAGGGTTTCGTGAGGTCCATGAGGTCCGCACAATAGCAACATTCCCACAGAAGCAGAGCACCATTTTTGAAGCTCGTAGCAGTAGAAGCAGATGAGAGACAAAGAAGAAGAAGACCTTTGTTGCTAGTTCCCTGTAAATCAAAATGAAGAAGAAGAAGGGGATTGCGTATGAGTCATTATATAAAGGAGAAATATGATATTATTTAAAATAAGGACCTAAAATGACCAAAATGCCCTCACATGGAGGCACATGATGGCATTAACGGCTCCAAACAAACGGACAATGACGGAATGGACTAAAAACCCAAGAAAACCTTGATTTTGGACCTTTGGTGCAAGCTGGAAACTTTTTGGACCCCATCCAAAGGTTTTGGCAAACCACAAGGACTAAATTTGCAGTTTTGTCATCAATATTCATACAGAGCAAAAACGATATTGGAACAAGCTATTGTGAGGGAAATATGCAAATAACTTTTTTTTTAAAGTAATGTTAAGGATGGTTTGTAATAGGGATGTCAAAAAGTCCCGTGGGACCCCGAACCCGTGGGGCCCCAATCCCGAATGGGAAATATTTGTTTAAAAAATCGGGAACGGGGGCGGGGGCGGGGGCGGGGGCAAGTTTAACCCCCGTTTTAATTTCGGGGGCGGGGGCGGGAGTGGGTAGTCCCGTCCCGAACCCCCAATGGGGACCCCGTTAATGTATTATTTATATTAATATATATTACAAAAATATAATAAATAATAGAAATGATTTTGAACTTCCAAAATTCAATAAAATATAATGTTTTTAAGTTGTTAGTATAACGTTTTTGAGATGTTATAATATTTTTATTTTAAACATATAAAATTAAGTTATAAATAACTATTTTTACCCAAAATGGCTTCTTTTAGCCCAACAAATAACTTCTGTTAGCCTAAACAACACCTTCATACGCCGAAGAAAAAGTCAACCCAAACGGGGGAGGGGAAACGGGGGCGGGCGTGGGGAGGCTAGAGATTTCGGGGGTGGGGCGGGGACGGGGGAACGGGAAAATATCGGGGGTGGGGGCGGGGGATGCAATCCCCATCCCGTTTGCCCCCGTTGACATCCCTAGTTTGTAATTATCTCTCACATAGAATAGATTGTTTTCTTATACAATCGTAGAGTTACTGATTCTAATTTGTTTCAAAGTGCAAAACCAAAAAATTAGATGACGTATTTTTTTAAAACCGTGAGTTTGAAATCTTCATGTGTACTTGGATTTTTCTCCATTGATATGTTTGCCTTTATAGTTTTATAGTTTTTTTCCTGCACATGTCCATTTTTAACTTCATTTTGCACCATACCTACACGTGTGAACTAAAATGGGGTAGAGTTACTTTTGGAAATTGTCCAAATTTGCATTTGGAATTACAGTATATATGAAGTGTCCTATTTTTTAGAATGATTAAATGCTAAAAATAACTATGTGGTTTCATTGATTTATATATATTATGGTACTTTTTTTATAATAATTCAAAACTAAAAAATTCTCAAAAGTAAATTAATAGGGTCGACTTTTGTAATATACGTCGAATCAAATGATGTGATTTTGTTGGAGATATTTATAAGATTTGATATTGTTAATGCACAATTAATGTAAAATATTTGGTATTTTTCATTAATATAAATAAATATTGTAGTTAATTTTTTTAACAAAGTTCTAGGAAGCTCATTAAAGCATAAATTACAACTTAGGTTTCTAACTTTTGAAGTAAATACTTGTCAATGTCTATATTGCTACTTCCTTTACATGTGTGTCCTTACAATTTAATATTCAGGTAGTGTTTCTGGATTTGTTTTTATAAAAATATATTTTGTAATTCTTTGTTGTGTATGTCTATATAATTTATGTTTGTTATTATTTGTTGATGTAATTTTGTTATAATATACTTCTAAGAAAATGTCACAGACAAGAAACTAAACCTGATTGAACTACCACTAAAATATATAAATGAAATATTCATTTTTAATAAGATTGTCATGTTCGAAAACTTTGATAAATAAGATCACATTTCAAACATGTTTTAAAAAGTTTTATAATTCAATTTCTGTTACTTAAAATAATAACGAAATAAATAAGACCACATTTCCAACATGTATTAAAAAGTTTTAATAATTCAATTTTCTACTACAAATAATAATGAAAATAATATAACAAGTATGATAAGAGTTTGTTATGAGAAGATAATGTTTTATTTTGTTATTGTACATTAACTCTTTTAATAATTTAAATGATATGAGTTTTTGTTAATAACAAAACGATGACATTTTATATATATTAAATTTGATCTAAAAATGATAGGGATATATTTAATTTTGGATTAGTCGATAACATGAAAGGGTATTATATGATTCTAAGACGAAACCGAATACCACTAATCGTTTCAGTTCTGATTCGGCTCTATTATAAAGTGTGTTATCCAAGAAGGTATTTGGTACTTGAACAAGCCAAAATCAAAACGGAACCGGAAACAAAAAAATGTGTAAATTGGTTGAATCGGACCGGATACCACTAATCGGTTATAACCGGTTGCGGTTCAGGTTCTGTTTCGGTTAAAAGGCTCATCCCTAATGCTACTTATATGCCTACATCATCACTGCATTGCATGGGTAATATCATATAGCGTATAAACTATTCACCAAACACCTACCCAAACTTTAATTGCTGAAACGAATATTCATCTAAAATAAAAATAAGAGCCGTCCGAAACTTATTTGCCGAAAATAAATTGTTTGTTGTTTCGAATGTATTATTATTTTTAACCAATTACAACAACACACTTCTTTTTAACCAAAACCATTAACTTAATTTTATTTCAATCCAAAACAAAAACATAATTTTTAACACAAAACAATAACATACTCTATTTTGAATCTAAAACAACATCTACCGTAACAAGACTCTTCACCGAAATAAACTAATCGCCGCCGCCGCCGCATCGCGCGGGTATGCTACTAGTATATATATATATATATATATATATATATATATATATATATATATATATATATATATATATATATGGAAAAGTTCAATAGAGAACCATAATTATTGGTTTTTCAAGGAACCAAATCTTTTTTTCAATTTTTAGAGCTTATTCTTTATTGAAAAAAAATCTAAAAATATCTAAATTCATATATTAACATTGTGAATGTGAAAAATATTTTCCGGATTCACCGTGTGAATCCGGATTCACATTGTGAATTTTCAAAGATTCACATTGTGAATTTGACGTAAAAAAAAATTCGAATTTGATATCATTGGAAAAAGGATAAAAAGTTATAAATTTCTGTATTTTTAGTTTTTTTTTTTGATAAAAAATAAGTTCTAAAAATTAAAAAAAAGATTGGTTCCTTATTTAATTATGGTTCTCTATTGAACCTCACCCTATATATATATATATATATATATATATATATATATATATATATATATATATATATATATATATATATATATATATATATATATATATATATATATATATAAAGGTTGATGTTCAATATAGAAAAACGGGTTTAATATAAAATTTGTCTACATGAAAATTTTAATGAAATTCGTCATAGGGCCATATGTTAGACGCCGAAGTGGGTTTAACAACAGCAGTTTGCCATGGACCAATCGTGCCAAAGTTTTAACAACTTCATGACGTAGTTCGAACCCCACCCCTCATTTCCCATATTATAAGGGTTGATTATGTCTTTTTCCATCAAGTTGTGCATATTTAAATCCATTTGTATGTCTTTCATTCCTGCTTTGCTAATTCATAGAGATTCATAAAGATACTGTACGTAAGGGAAACTCTCTCCTCATCACCATCACCATTACTGTTGTTCTGAATATACAGGTCTAGTAAAGATGCCTGCAACGAATCCAGCTTCTCCACCACCATCACCACTGCCACAGTCACCACTACGACCTTGTGGAAATCTAGTTGGTAAACCTCTATATTGAGCATGACATGAGCATATTCTCAGTTTAATAATAAGAATTTTTCAAAAAACCAATACATTTTCACAGGTTTATCTGAAAAGTCGTTGCTTTATGATTATTATTATTTTTCAGAAAAGCATTCACACATCAAAATGTTTGAGAACAACCATTAATATCTGATTTTTGTTTTTTTTTTCATAGAACATTATTTATTAAGATTGTTTTAAGAATACAATGTAAAATATGATAATTAAATGACTTTATTCACCAATAAGGGTCAGAATGGTTTGGTTTTTTACTAAGATGGAAATCAAACCGAAAATTTCGCTTTTGACTTCCGAAATAATAAAGCATAGGTTTTTTCAGTTTCATTTTCTTGGTTTTATTGATTACTTTTTCGGTTATTTGTTGTTATTTTAATTTCGATGGGTTTATTCATAAAATTTGTTGATAAAATTTAACAAAAAACACAGTAATTATCTAAAATAGAAAAGAAGAGAAACAAACACATGCTTATTATATTGATTATTAAAAAAAAAAGCAAGTGCATATTAATTATTTTGTGTTTTAGCACATTTAATCTTTGACCCTGGTGTGGAGACTAGTTACCATTGAAGGTTTTTTAGAAGCTTTATATATATATATATATATATATATATATATATATATATATATATATATATATATATATATATATATATATAACACAATAAGTATAACAACCATAATTTTTGTTCCAAATTATCAAAAATTTCAAAAAGAACATATGTATTGTTCACATCAAAGAACAACCTAAAAAAACTCATTAAATTCCATCCTTCTACTTTTTAAACACAATGTCGGCATACTTCAAGATTCTTTTTCCTTCCTTCAAATACTTCTTTATCTTCTTGGCCTTCCGGTCTCTAGAACCACTATGAACATCAGCACCTTGGCCGGAAAACTCATAAATCATATAACATAACATAACAAGTATCCTCCTAGATCCTTAGCCCTAATCTAACATGCAGTTCTCAAAATCATAAATCATATAACATAACATAACAAGTATGAGTATCTTGGGGAAAACTTACTTGAGCTCGGCCGGTTGCACGCATCACATACCTTGTTCTTTCCAAAATTCTTTAACTTAAATTTTAGAAAACTGTTTTCTTGCGAAAAATCTTTTAATCCCTCGGTTTGAGTCCAGACACCCCCGAGGGTGTGTCCGAATCCCTCAAACCAAGGCTCTGATACCAACTTGTAACATCCCAAATTTCAAGCCCGAAAATTTCATTTTAATTAAGTAATTCGCAACATAGTTTACCAAAACATTTGCCATGCCGTGTCATTTGTAAAAAGAAACTTAACAATGTGTCTGAAAATCATATCGTCAAAAGTAAAATAAATCAGAGTACATTCCCAGAAAACTCCATGCGGAAACCATGTGTGTGTGTGTGTGATGCGCTGCTACACCGCCGGCTCCTTCCCCATAGACGAAGAGGTACCTGAAACCAAAACTAAACTGTAAGCACAAAGCTTAGTGAGTTCCCCCATCATACCATATACTATACAATCACATATCATACATACTGTCGGGCAATTCTGGGGCGCCCGTCCCATCCATGTCAAGCCATTCAGGGGTGCTGACCTACCCACGTCAAGCCATTCTGGGGTGCTGACCTACCCATGTCGAGCCATTCTAGGATGCTGACCTACCCATGTCAGGCTATTCTGGGGTGCCGACCTACCCTCCGGTCTTTCAACCGAATACGGGGACTATTTCACCCGGTACTGCTAACACATAATATCATATCTCAATCATGTTGTCAGACATATTTGGGGTGTCCGACCTACCCGTTGGTCCTATCGACCGATTCGGGGACTAGTCCCCTCCTACTATTACTATCTCACATAACATAGCAACTAGCATAGTCACATACCAAGCAAACTAGCATATTCGCATATCAAGCAATAGCTACGACACTTTTCCTACTAGATATGCGAATATGCGAATATGCTAGTTTGCTTGGTATGTGACTATGTTATGCGAATATGCTAGTTTGCTTGCTATGTTATGTTCATCCACTCGTCGAGTCCCATGATTCCCAGGTCCCTTTTTATGACTAAACATCTACGACACTTTTCCTTCCTAACAACTGTTCCATCAACAGAAAGGCTTTGGTGGTCATTACATCGCGACTCGTCGAGCCCATCCATGACCATTACTATACAATCGATTTAAATGGGTCTTAAGTCATTAAAACCATAGATCTGGTCCCCTAATGTCCATTTTACACGTAAAGTTTCCAACTTGGTGCACATGCAAGGGGTCTTTGGCTCAAAAGGCCATAAAAAGTGATCCACAAGGTGCATAGGGCTCTTATGGCCATAAAGTTGGCACCTTTATGCCATGAGACCCTTCCAATGACTCAGATCTGAAGTCAAGACCTCATATAACACTCCACAAATCTGAATATGGCTTGGAAAGCCCTAAATGTGCCCAAAACCCAAGTCCAAAGATGAATAAACACATAGAAGACCAAGGCAGGGGCATTTTACCTTGATTGAGCTGAAAATGGAACTAGATCCCTGAATGTCTAAGCCCCAACTCGAACTCTCAAGCTTCCTTCTTCTTCTCTAAGCTATATAAACCACCAAATGTACCAAATGGCCTTAGAACACACAAAAATGGCTAGGGTTTCGTTACACAGCCTTCTGGGAGTGATAAGGGCGATGGAGGCCAAGATAAAGTGTTTAAATAGGGTGCAAACCCTAAATATTAGGGTTTTGTCCAGACAGCTCCTACTCGTCAAGTAGGTCACTTAAACCCCCGATGAACAGTCGAGTCTACTCGGCGAGTAGGGCCTCCAACTCGCCGAGTCCCAGGGTAAATTGCAATAATCCTTGAATTTAAATACGTACTAGGAATCGGGTGTTACACATATCTTGCGCTTGCTTTTCCAGGCAGCCTCAACCCGTATTTGATTATCATACATGAGCCTTGATCCATGCTCATCTATCACTTCAATCTTCCTTTTCAGATTGTGAATTTCGCATTGTGCCTGCGGAATTTCTTCTTTATAAAGATGATCCGAGTAGAATCTAGGACTATTTGGCGTATACTCCACATAGGGCATATGGAACGTTTTATATTTTTGCTCTATACGGTACTCCACGTGGTCTCACCTCAGGTTCCCCTAGGGATTCCTCGTCGGAGTCTTTTCCGGGATCCTCCTCGGGGTCTTTGTCGAGTTCCTCCTCATAGTCTTCATCTTAATCTTCCTCATCCCGCTTAGAGAGGCTGAATGGAGTCGTGGGTTCCAGATTTTCCTCCGATTCTGAAAGCTGTAACTCAACATCCAACTTCTCATGAGGAAGTAGTCCACGTGTACCCTCATATGGCACCCCACTTACGAAGATTGCTTTTCCCCGATCCATAGTACCTACAAACGATACGTAGTCTAGATTAGGAAATGTACCGCTCCTCTCGTTTAAGCTTAGGCATTTATGCAACACCTAATCTGCTTAAACATCTTTTTGCAACCAACTTTAACTTGTGACACCCCAAATTTTCAAATACAAAATTATCCTCAACATGGTCCCAACAACCTCCATAATCAAATTCAAATTACTAATATTGTCTTTCATAATAGCGGAAGCAAATAAAAATTTAATAAACTCTTGGAGTGTTACGTCTTCAAAATATCATATTCGTCTTCAAGTATGAGTCGTATTGTAACGACCTAAAAATAAGACCCGAAATGTTTTCATTTTTAGATTAATAAAACAACAACCCAAAACATTTTTATAAAACCAAGATTATCAAATGTATCAATACATCATTTATATCAGAGTAAATCACAAAGATGCAACGAGTGGTGTGTGCTCTGCAATCATCTCGAGCTCTTCCCTTTGGAACCAGAAATACCTGAAACATAAACTGAAAACCGTAAGCACAAAGCTTAGGTAGTTCCCCAAAATACTACATACCGTACATAAATAATCACATAAGGCGCCTCGTCCAATGAGTGTATCGGGCCGCACCCACACTCGCATAGCGGGCCCCACCCACTGAATATAACGGGCCCCGCCCAAACTCATATAACGGGCCCCGCCCACTCAGTATAACGGGGTCCTGCCCAAGCTCATATAATGGGCCTCGCCCACATACAAATCATATAAGCATAACAGATAATAGCATGCAGAATAACTGTCAGGCCCCGCCCAGTAAGCATACAAACAAATACATATACAAGAGTCACACATACATCTAGTATTCTAGCATAACAAATCATGGGCCGGCATTGGTGCCTTCGACCCGCTAAATACAGTAAGGAAACTCACCTCATACTGATGAATCTCACAGATAAGTCTCTGGCTGCTGGCCCGCTAAAATCCCTGCACTATTAATCACAAATAACATCCAATTAATAATTGGATCCCAACTCACACTAAGAATATATACTAGGGTAAAATACCCTTTTTACCCCATTTACCCAACACGACCCAAAGCCTAGGCCCAATCCAATTTGTCTAAAAGCCCAAAATTCCAAAATAATCATTATAAGCCCAATTATGGCCCAATTTTCCAAATTAGGCCCAAATCTCTTTCATGGGCTTTCAACCAAAAGTCTACTAAAATACCAACAGCCCAAGAATAGAATTCTGATGGCCCAACAAGACCCAAGACAACAATGGCCCAATATCGAGAAGCCCATAACACCGAAGCCTACTGCTGAGTACGCGAGTCGTACTCATCCTGTATGCTAAGCGTACTCGCTTTAGGGCTTGTACACTGCGTGTACTAGCTTGTACGCCAAACGTACTCAACTAGTTTGGCCAACTTTCTCATTCAGCTCTTAAACGATTAAGACTTCACTCCAAAACTTAGATCTGACTTCCTTGAGGTGGCTTATCATGTAAAGTTGCCAACTTTACGTGCATGCATGGCTTAATGAGGCTCTTAGAGCTCAAAAGAGCTTAATAAATGACTTAATGGATGCATGAGACTGCCAATATAAC